TACTTCAAATTTGGTCTGTAGCATCCTTGTGACAGTCACACTTGGATTTGCTCATGTCATACCAATTGGCCCCTTTTAGGGGTCAGCAGAGCTAAAAATAGAAAAACCTTTAAACATCTTCTTCTACAGAACTAATTGATGCATGATCACCAAACTTTGTCTGTAGCATTCTTGAGTAGTCTTTTATCAAGTTTGCTCATATTAATTTGATTGGCCCCTTTTAGGGGTCACTAGAGCTAAAAATAGAAAAAACCTTTAAACATGTTCTTCTACAGAACTAATGGATGGATGATCACCAAACTTTGTCTGTAGCATTCTTGGGTAGTCCTTTATCAAGTTTGCTCATATGAATTTGATTGGCTCCTTTAAGGGACCGCAAAAGCTAAAAATAGAAAAACCTTTAGACATCTTCTTCTACAGAACTAATTGATGGATGATCACCAAACTTTGTCTGTAGCATTCTTGGATAGTCTTTTATCAAGTTTGCTCATATTAATTTGATTGGCCCCTTTTAGGGGCCGCTTAAGCTAAAAATAGAAATACCTTTAAATGTCTATTTCTACAGAACTAATTGATGGATGATCACCAAACTTTGTCTATTAAAAATAGAAATATGTTTAAACGTCTATTGCTACAGAACTAATTGATGGATGATCACCAAACTTTGTCTGTAGCATTGTTGGGTAGTCTTTTATCAAGTGTGCTCACATTTTTTTGATTGGCCCCTTATAGGGGCCGCATGAATTAAAAATAAAATACGTTTAAACGTCTATTGCTACAAAACTAGTTGATGGATGATCACCAAACTTTGTCTGTAGCATTCTTGGGTAGTCTTTTATCAAGTTTGCTCATATTAATTTGATTGGCCCGTTTTAGGGGCCGCTAAAGCTAAAAATTGAAATACCGTTAAATGTCTATTTCTAGAGAACTAATTGATGGATGATCACCAAACTTTGTCTGTAGCATGCTTGAGTAGTCTTTTATCAAGTTTGCTCATATTATTTTGATTGGCCTCTTTTAGGGGCCGCAAAAGCTAAAAATAGAAAAACCTTTAGACATCTTCTTCTACAGAACTAATTGATGGATGATCACCAAACTTTGTCTGTAGCATTCTTGGGTAGTCTTTTATCAAGTTTGCTCATATGAATTTGATTGGCCCCTTTTAGGGGCCGCTTAAGCTAAAAATAGAAATACCTTTAAATGTCTATTTCTACAGAACTAATGGATGGATGATCACCAAACTTTGTCTGTAGCATTGTTGGGTAGTCTTTTATCAAGTTTGCTCATATTATTTTGATTGGCCCCTTTTAGGGGCCGCTAAAATTAAAAATAGAAATACGTTTAAACGTCTATTGCTACAGAACTAATTGATGGATGATCACCAAACTTTGTCTGTAGCATTATTGGGTAGTCTTTTATCAAGTTTGCTCATATTAATTTGATTGGCCCCTTTTAGGGGCCGCTTAAATTAAAAATAGAAATTATTTTAAACATCTGGGGAGAAATTATTTTAAACATCTTCTCCTACAGAACTAATTGATGGATGATCACCAAACTTTCTTTGTAGCATTTTTGGGTCATCTTTTACAAGTTTGCTCACATTTTTTTTATTGGCCCCACTCAAGCTAAAAATAGAAAAACCTTTAAACATCTTCTACTTTAAAACCAATTGATGGATGATCACCAAACTTTGTCTGTAGCATTCTTGGGTACTCTTTTATCAAGTTTGCTTATATTATTTGATTAGCCCCTTTTAGGGGCCACTAAAGCTAAAAATAGAAAAAAATTCCTACTGAAATAATTGATGGATGATCACCAAACTTTGTAGCATTCTTAGGTAGTTTTTTTTTTATCAAGTTTGCTCATATTAATTTGATTAGCCCCATTAAAGCTAAAGCTTAAATGCCCCCAGGTCATGGCATTTCTTCAAATTATTGTTTAAACATATTCTATGCTTAAATTTAATATTAGGAAATATTGACATTCCAACTCTGAAAAGCAGTTGTTTCTGGTGTGCGACTCAGGGCCATCATGGCCCTCTTGTTATAATGAGTTAAAAGGAAACAACTCAATATTGGCATGTTTTACATGTGTACATGTTATGCAATTTTTCTAAAAAAAATCAATAGCTGGGAGTTTGTCTGATCCAGACCTCTTGCAAGAGAGATGTATGAAATTTTTAGATGTTTACATGTATGAAGTGAATTGAGCACATTATAAGGAAAATATACAACTCAAAATTTGATAAGGATCACCTTTTTGACATTGCATATTTCAGTCCTATTATCATCATATTAAAATTATATTTCCGCTAACGATACACCTGTACGGGGACCTTATAATCATGTACTTAAGTTATCGATTTGTCATGTACAGTTGTACACCATGCACGATAAGCACGTGGAAAAGCATACCCATGGAAATTCGGTGTTTTATGGCCATGTGCTTTCACTTAAACGTGTACAGGCAGCAAGACTTCTCTCGATTTATTGTTAAACTGTGTTCGAAATAAACAAACTATGGAAAATCGACAGATTAGACGTCGTCTTAGTGAAGATGAGATGAACAGGAGTATTGGAATGCTGGAGGCTGGCCCTTCACTATGGCACGTTGCCCATGTCCTTGGGGTATCCCAGAGCGTTGTCTCCGGGATGTGGAACCGATTCCAAATGACTTGAAAGGTCTTGAATGGCCACGCCGGAGGTTGGGAACGTTCAACGACTCAAGCCGAAGACCGTTTCATTGTCCTTCAGACAAGGCGCCAACGGTTCTCGAACGCTACGACCTTACGTAACGATTTCCAGAATGCAACTTATGTGTGTGAAACTGTTAGAAACAGGTTGCATGATGTTGGGTTGAGGTCACGGAGGCGCAGACTCATGTCACATCGACAGTTAATGATTGGACCCCGGTCCTCTTCACTGATGAGTCAAGGTTTTGTGTGGACTTCACGGACAGACGGGCTAGGGTTTGGAGAAGTCTAAATGAACGCTAAGCTCCAGCTCCATAGAACACATCCGTTTTAGCGGGGGTTCAGCCCTCAGAGAAAACGGACCTACACATGATTGAAAACAGTACACTGACGGCAGTAAGGTACGTCAATGAAATTTTAGGCGTCCATGTACACACGTACGCTTGCGCATTCGGCCCTGATTTGACAACGCCCGTGCACACAGAGCCAACAAACCGATATCTTGAGAAGGCAACTATAGTTCGCATGGATTGGCCAGCAAGGTCCCCGGATTTAAATCCAGTTGAGCATGCTTGAGATAATTATGGTGCAGAAAGCCATGTCCTCACGCCACGTCCAACAAACAACAGGAGCTAAGACATGCAATCATAGAGGAATGGGCCCAGATTTCTCATCACAAGGTCCGCAGACTCATCAGCAACATGCGGTGGCGGTGCAAGGCCGTAATTAATGCTTGCGGACACACTACGCCAACCATTTCCTGATTTGCAAGATTTTTTTTATTCCACTATGTGATCTCTAAAATGTTGATTTTCGTCCAGCACACTCTTTCCGCAACAGACACTTGTCAAGAAACACTTTCATTGTCATTATTTTCATAAAAATCAATTCCAAACTAATTGTATTAATTTCTTTTAATCAATTTTCACATTTATTACAAATACTAGTACACAAAAGTAACGCACTGTAGAAAAGTGATCCTTAGCAAATTTTGAGTAGTATATGATTCACGCAATTTTGCCTTTTTAAATATTAGATACATTGTCTCAAATGATTGTTTTAAATCGTAGATGTTTGTTTTATGTGTTCAGAAATAGGCAATGATTAGTTGAAAAAAAAGTATAAATTTATAAAAAATAAATTATTTTTAAGTTTTACAGCTGTTGTAAATGTAGTAAGAATACTTTTATTTTGAATCATGTATTGTATACTATGGCCTTTGTACACAACTGACCCTGACGCTCAAGTTCACTAGAAACTACTGCATTATGGCAATTGTGTATAAACACATTAAAACAAGAGCCGGTTGAACCCGCATAAGTTTTGGACACAGAAAAGTATACATCTTGTAGTTTCAGAGTTATTGGGAGATTTTTCAAAAATAGAGTTATGATTCTTTGGTACTGCACTCTGCCTCATTGCCCTCTACCACTGTGTGCAGCATGAGGTCCCCGTACAGTATCGTACAGTGTATCGTTATGCTTCGGACAAGATTTTTTTTAAAAGGGGAGATAATTTAAAAACTGGTTATGATTCTTTGGCACTACACTCCGCCTCAATGTCCTCTACCATTATGTGCAGATTAAAGGATTTTCAGATTCAATCTCCTACGCAGTGATCTCCCCTTATCAGTACAGTGATCACTGCCATCACACATTTTTTTATCAATATTTTGATATTTTATATTTTTTAGCTTTTGAATTTATTTTTCATTATTTTGTATACTTTTGATAATTTTTTGATGAACTATAACGAACGTAGGCACGAAAGGTTAAAATAAAACAGAAAGAGCAAAATGACGTTAGATTTTCCATGTAACGGTCGATATTTACATTTGAATTTCGACGTTACGTCATGTGACTTTCATCATCATTTGACGCCTGATAAGGTAGGGATTACAAGGGGTAATCACTGTGAGGAGTTTGTTTCAGGTTATGCTTCGGACAAGATTTTTCTAACAGGGGAGATAATTCAAAAAACGGGGCAAAATAGAGTTATGATTCTTTAGCGGTACACTCCGCCTAAATGCCCTCTACTAATGTGTGCAGTTTTAAGAAATTTTGTCCAAGAGTTTTCAATTTATGCTCCGGAATAAAACGGATGGTCAGGCAGACGGACAAGGCGGCGCCGACTATAATATGCTCTCCCTTTTGGGAAGCATAAAAAATATACCTCTGTTCCTACTATTAAGTATTGTATTAATGCGGTGGCATCTGACCTCTGCAAGCTAAATTTATAAATTATGATAATGTCACAATATACATGTACATGTTGTTGACACGAGAACGGGACATATGGTAATTTGTTTCTGATAAGAGCAAAATACAGAAGACAATATTGCCCGTCAGAGAGAAGTAGATGACAGACATGTTTTTCGGGTTATTTTTACTTTTGGTTATTTTCAGTAATGTGTGTGTTGCTGAAAATAAGCGGGAAGAAAAGAGAATATTGATAGACGATAACTATTACACTTTACTTTCACGACTGGATGCACTAGAGAAGGAGGTGACCGATCTGAAGTCCAACTATGGTAATATTTTTCATATGATAACACTTTGAATTCGTAGCAGAAAGGTGACTGGCCGAGCCTTTATCTGTATTAATCGGAACGTCTTCGGCTATTATCTTTGATTATCCGAAGATTGACGGAAAAGGCCGAAAAGTTGCGATTGTATCTGTGACGTTCATAATGCAAATGCATCTGAGATCAAAGGGGGTGTAACGGTGCTTGGACTCTATATTTGGGTTATTTGTGACCGGTGACAATCCTTATATATATGGAGCGATAGCTCAGTTGGTTAAACTATGGAACAGAATTAATGCATTTATTCCATCTTGCTTTATGATATCGGAACTTACATTATGCTTGCTTCTATACTTCTTTATGACAATGAAAACCTGCGTTTTGCTGAATTCAATCATGCCTTATGATTACTGAATGCACTTTCATGTATTTTTTACCTTGTGTGTTCCCTACTAAACCATCAAACTCACATATTTTAATATGCTATATGTTTAATTGCATCTTTTTTAAAGGACAACGTATTATGTTTGGTGTTTAAGATACCATTCTTTATAACTATATGTAACATGGTAGTTGTATCTTTAATTTGCTATAAATCTACCACTTATATTGTCGGCATTATGTCAAAATAAACTATTCATTTTGATCAATAATTGGCGAATTTGATGTGTCTTAGCATTCATATGCTTCAATATATCCACTGATTACAAATATAATGCAATACATGATCACTGCGCATCGACAACGAAGATGACAACGATAGCGATATTATAGTCGCATGTGACAGTACGCACTAAGCAGTTGGCAGTAAGCATAATGCGAGTTGCAATAATTTGTGTTCATATTATGACAGCAGGTGTCGCTTTGTCGGTACATCCCGTTATTTTCCGGATGATCCCGTATTTTGGCACGTGGAGTAAACAGTTACGTCCACTTTATATAGGGGCGTATACGGAACAGTGTTAGTTGGGGACTGACATGTAAATTTACTGAAAAACAAGAGAACACGATGCGACAGACGAAAAGAGCGTGTTTTTGAAGATTCCGCCAGCATGTGGAAAAAAAAGTTAAATATGTCTCTAATAACTCATCCTACAAGTGGCAACTCACCTTTTATACAATTGTTTACACTTCTTTTTGAGCGTGTGTGATAAGTGAAATTGAATTTTATCAAACTTAAGGTGGCACAAAGGTTAATTGTGTGTGTTTTTATTTATCTCGTGCGCACGAGATACTGTGTCGTGGCCACGGGTTACTAAGTTGTGGCCACGAGATAGTTAAGTCGTTGGAACGAGATACTATGTTGTGGCCACGAGTAACTAAGTCGTGGCCACGAGATAATTAAGTCGCGGGAACGAGATAACTTAGTCGTTGGAACAAATTACTATGTCGTGGCCACGAGAAAGTTTAGTCGTGGTCACGAGAAAGTTTAGTCGTGCGAACGAAATAAATAACCAATCAAATTACACTATTTACATGAATTTTCCTATCAAGGATGCCCCTACTTCACTTGCCCGTAAAAGTGCCATTTATACAAGTTATTGATTGGTCAAAGATTTTGCGTCATTGTGGCCCAGATTTCCAAATTGCCTAAAAATCATTTGGTATCATCTTCTGATCGTTTTAGGTTATATAAACTACGGCTTATTCTTTCTTAATCATTTATCAGACACGGATTTTACATGAAGTGTCATGTTTATCTGACCTGTGACCTCAAACATCCTTATAGGATATATTCTGTCAATGGACAATGTCCCTTCCCAATAAATTAAACCTGGACTAAATCCCTCTAAAATTATGGTATAAACAATGTTAACAGGCCTTTGTACGTACAAAATGACCAATTCTATCATAGAATTGTTCCAACAAAGGGCTATAACTTAGTCAAAATTCATGTCTTATTTATGGGCCTTATGATCCTAAAGACATGTATTAAGTTCAAAGTGAACACTTCAGTATTTTCAAAGGTTAATGTTGCGCGTAAATCTTTAAACAGAAATTTTCTAAGTTTAAAAAATCATGGTGTAATCTTATTTAATTATCTCGTCTGCACGACTTAGTTATCTCGTTCCCACGACTTGTACGACTTAGTAAATCGTGGCCGTGACATAGTCTCTCGTGGCTACGATATAGTATCTCGTTCCCACGACTTAACTATCTCGTAGCCACGACTTAGTAACTCGTGGCCACGACACAGTATCTCGTGCGCACGAGATAAATAAAAACACACACATGCCACTTAGTAACTCGTGGCCACGACTTAGTACAGTACAAACTTGATTCTTTTTTGTAAAATAAAATAAATATAATTTGGCTTCACACAAACATTGTGCTTTAAATCCTTTACACTGCAAGTGGGCAGTATGAATATACATGTATAGTGTTATTACAAAAATATATATGGAAGTTTCTTTTAAAGACAGGCACAACTTTACTTGACCCGTAATAAGGAAAGCAGATTCCTATACATTATGTGTATGTGTTTTTATTTAAATAAAACATATTTAGTAAGAATTTTATAGATTTCAATAAATTTCTGTGATGAAAATATATTACTGAAAGATGTGCATAGTATATTTTAAGCACAAATGTATGTGAATGTGGTTGTGTGTGCGGGATGTCTGATCTATAATCAGACACACATATGCCCAACATTTGTAATTGACTATGCACATGTCATAAAAATAAACAACTTCCTTCTTTCCTTATTATACATGTATATTTTAATGTGTTACATACCTATTCGCCACTATTGACTTATTGACTCTGAGACGTTTATTAAGTTCAAAGGCCAATTAATAAGTTTTGCTTTTAATGTCCAGGTCATTAAATAGAGACCTTCGCAATCGCAGTACCTGGGCAGGTGCTTAACTGGATGACAGCATTATATGTTTTGTTAAGGAAGTACACTTTGACCACTATTGCATGAAACTTACACGTATATATTCCATCCCAGCTCATCAACGTATCTTCGGGGGTAGGTGCAGCCCTTAACCAAGGCCTGAATCCGCCACTGTACGTATAATTGCCCCATTGCTTAACTGTTTACGAGCATATTTTTTCTATTAGACTGTATACATATACATGTATAAAATTATATTGCATAATCCCTACTACTTGTATTTATATTCTTTCCACTGCAATTTATGTATTAAGCGCTTGGTACGTATTTATAGCATTGTCGCCCTCTGTATTTTAACGTATAACCACGATGGCCCTAACGGTATTCCGTAATATATACATGTACGGAAAATTCCGATGATTGGCGGATCATGGGAAAAATCCGTTGATATCGATAACAGAGTTCTCGCCCCTTAACAGTTCACAAATCGCTAGACATTGTTTAAATTGTTTATCATAATGTAAGATGATCAAACATAATCCACAAAGCCTCAGACACCGTAACAAAATCCATCAGGGAACAAAAATAGTCAATTTTAAATGACTTCTACATAAAAGTAATACAAAAAAAATAAACCGTAAATAGTTTGTATAGAGCATGAAGAAAGGCAGCTTATACATAAAGGTATATGACGTTAACATTTTAGTATTCCAAATGGCTTGTTCCAGTTTAATAGTTATCACTCAATGAAAGAATCGGTCACTACGAAATGTTTAAATGGCATAATGACAAATGGAATCCAGAATAATGCAACGTTTAAATATCATAAAGCAATATGGAATCAATCATAATGCAAGTTCTAATTTCATGTAGCAAGATGGAATTAAGCATAATGCAAGTTCCAATGTCATCAAGCAAGATGGAATCAAGCAAAATGCAAGTTCCAATGTCATCAAGCAAGATGGAATCAAGCATAATGCAAGTTCCAATGTCATCAAGCAAGATGGAATTAAGCATAATGCAAGTTCCAATGTCATCAAGCAAGATCGAATAAATGCATTAATTCTGTTCCATATTAAACCACTGACTATCACTCCTGAGGTCCCGGGTTCGATCCTGGGTTACACCCTTGGGATTTTTCAGAGACACTTTCAGTGTTTCCCACCTACCTAGAGGTGTACTGGTAAGAAATCCAGGTAATCCTCGCATGTATCAGTGCTATACACTGGGCATGTAAAAGAACCAAGGGGTCTTTTCAATAAGAGCTAGGGACTGGTTCCCGGATTCCCTTGTATCTTAAAGCTGTTTCTTAAATGTATACAATGTATACCTGCTTAGAGTGATCGAAAAACGATTTTAAAGCAGTATGATGTAGAAATAGAAATAGAAATTGTCACCTGTTTTTTAGTTCTGGACCTAGTTTTGGTCACAAATAACCCCAAAATAGAGTCCAGGCACCGTTACAACCCCTTTGTCTGAGATAATCCTGGTCCGTATGGGATCCAAACTTGTGTTGTCCATCGACCCATCTACCTTTCCCTGCGATTTAACATTTATCTCATGAAATATAACATCATAACAATTCAAGGTTCGCATATTATCTTAAATACTAGTACGTTTATTCTTACGCTTATTTAGTGAAAATCTTGCAAAAAGGGGGGAAAAAACAGACAAAAAAATGTGTTACGACTCCCAAAATAAAATCTCACTCCATTAGTAATGTTGAAGACTTTTGACGATAAAAATGGTGAATTATTCATGACAAATTCCATGCATATATATTTTTTATGAATAATTCAAAGTTTCGTCTAGATTTTAGTTGTTTTTTATGATGTACTATGCTCATCGTTTAGTAAAATATTTTTATCGCTAAAATTTATTGCAATTCATAAAATTCATACTGGATATGTCTTATTTTTTATGTACAAATTATGTATGGGAAGCTGCATTTCCTTTAATTAAGTCGAATGAATATTGTTCATCGTTTAATTATTTTCCATTTAACAGCGAGTGGTTCCCACAAAGAAGTGGCATTTATGGCCGAGCTGACCAAGACTATTACCGGACAGAATCACCATATCTACTTCGATGACGTCAAACTGAACATCGGGAATGCCTACAATCCGCACCACGGAACGTTTGTTGTCCCGGTAAACGGCACATACCAGTTCTCGGTAACTGCATGCTCTACTGCTGGACATTATATTGTGCTTGAACTGAATGCAAACAACGATATACTCGGGAAGGTATTGGCTGGTGACGATTCTTATGGTGATTGCAATTCTAAAGTATTCCTTGCTCAACTTCAAACTGGTGACGACGTTTTTGTTCAGCATATCTCACAAGGTGACAACCTCCTTTCAGCTTCTAGTTACGGAAAACCGTCTTTTACTGGAGTTCTACTTCACTAAAGTTGGATAACAAGAAGACACGCAATGCATTTCTGCTAATTTATATATGAATAGTAAATAAACTACAGTAGTATGCAATTGGCTTCATATTTAATTAATCTATTTGATAATAATATCTAAATGTTGTATTACGTTCTAGTGTGCCTTACTAGTATTTATAGTACTGTACTCGTGTATATCAGTGCATTGTTGTCCGAATTTTGAGCCTCACACGAATGAATTAAAAGAATTTTTTTTAATACAATTATTCAAAAGTTGATAAAAATCATGTACATAAAGTATACGTAATATCAATCACCATGCAAATTCACTCTTGCATAAAGTAACGGCAATCTATTAACTCCAGATTTGCTGGAATACTAAAAAGAAAACCATGAATCAGTATGACCGCGGCTTTTTTAGATCTTCTGGTTATAATTGAAAGATATTTTTACGTGTAAATGTATGTGATGGCGTAGGGTATTGTAGTATGGTTTTAGATCGCACCAACACTATAGGGCTCACATGGCAACTTTCCATCGAAACATTACAAAAATAGATTGCATTTAGTCAAGTTATTTTTGTGATAATTAAAATGAACAACATCAGAACACCTTACCTATTGCCAATCAGAGAGTCTTTTTTTATTACATGACTTCCTCAGCCAATCAAGTTGCGACATCTCCATTCATTGATACTTAGTACACAGGGCCGAAGCTTTGTATTGCAATGGGCATACCTTCCACTATACATTAGGTCGATTCACTTTTTCATACAAAATAAGTCTTTTTTTATAATTTTTGTGCTTTGGAATCAAAATTGATCCTGTCCAAGCCTTATGGCTTTTTTTCAGATCATTCCCCTTGTTATAATGAGTTATACATGTATAATGAAAGGGAAACAACTCAATATTGGAACGATTTATATGTGTACATGCTATGCAATTTTTCTAAAAAAAATAATAGCTGGGAGTTTTTCTGGCCCAGACGTCTCGAAAGAGAGATGTATGAATTTTTGAGATGTTTATGAAGTGATTTGAGCACATTATAAGGAAAAGATACACCTCAAAATTTGCTAAGGATCACCTTTTTGACATTGCATATTTCAGTCTTTATATCATCATATTAAAATCATATTTCCACTTACGATACACCTGTACGGTGACTTCATAATCGTGTAATTAAGATATCGATTTGTCATGTACACCATGCACGATAAGCACGTGGAAAAGCATACCCATAGAAATGTTTTGTTTTATGGCCATGTGCTTTCACTTAAACGTGTACAAGCAGCAAGACTTCTCTCGTTTTATTGTAAAACTGTGTTCGAAATTAACAAACTAAGGCAAATCGACAGGTTAGACGAAGTCTTAGTGAAGATGAGATGAACAGGGGTATTGAAATATTGGAGGCTGGTCGTTCACAAAAGCACGTTGGCCATGCCCTTGGGGTATCCCAGAGTGTAGTCTCCAGGATGTGGAACCGATTCCAAATGACTGGAGATGTCTTGCAGGGCCACGCCATAGGTTGTGAACGTTCAACGACTCAAGCCCAGGACCGATTAATTGTCCTTCAGGCCAGGCGCCAACGGTTCTTGAATGATATGACCTTACGTAACGACTTCCAGAATGTAACTGGTGTGCGTGTAAGCACACAAACTGTTAGAAACAGGTTGCATGATGCCGGGCTGAGGTCAAGGAGGCCAACAATTCGCATTCCTTTGACACAACACCATATTTAAGAGCGTTTGCAAAGGGCGCAGACTCATGTCACATGGACAGTTAATGATTGGACCCCGGTCCTCTTCACTGATGAGTCAATGTTTTGTGTGAACTTCATGTACAGACGGGCTAGGGTTTGGAGAAGTCCAAATGAACGCTTAGCTCCAGCATGCGTTGCAGAACAGGACCGTTTTGCATGGTTCAGTAATGGTGTTGGCGGAAATAAGCCCTCAGGGGAAACGGACATACACATGATTGAACACGGTACACTGACGGCAGTAAGGTACGTCAATGAAATTTTAGGCGTCCATGTACGCACGTACGCTGGTGCATTCGGCCCTGATTTGACCACGCCCGTGCACACAGAGCCAACAAACCGATATCTTGAGAAGGCAACTATAGTCCGCATGGATTGGCCAGCGAGGTCCCCGGATTTAAATCCAATTGAGCATGCTTATGGTATGGTGCAGAAAGCCATTTCTTCACGCCGTATCAAACCAACAACAGTTCAGGAGCTAAGACATGCAATCATAGAGGAATGGGCCCAGATTTTTCATCACAAGGTCCGCAGGCTCATCAGCAGCATGCGGTGGCGATGCCAGGCCGTAATTAATGCCCGCGGATACACTACGCCAACCATTTCCTGATCTGCAAGAATTTTTTTATTCCACTATGTGATCTCCAAAATGTTGATTTTCGTCCAGCACACTCTTTCCGCATCAGGCACACGTCAAGGAACACTTTCATTATCGTTATTTTCATAAAAATCAATTACTAACTAATAATATTTAATATCTTTTAATCAATTTTCACATTTATTACAAATACACAAAAGTAACGCACTGTAGAAAAAGTGATCCTTAGCAAATTATGAGTAATATATGATTCACGCAATTTTGTCTTTACACTCGTAAAGGAACGATAGCATAGATAAGTTTAAATATAAGATACATTGTCTCTAATGATTGTTTTAAATCGTAAATGTCTTTTATGTGTTCAGAAATAGGCAATGCTTAGTTGAAAAGATAGTATTTATGAAAAATAAAGTATTTTAAGTTTTACAGCTATCCTAAATGTAGTAAGAATACGTTTATTTTTAATCATTTATTATACAATGGCCTTTGTGCACAACTGGCTTTGACACTCAAGTTCATTAGAAACTACTGCATTATGGCAATTGTATTATAAACACATTAAAACAAGTGCCGGTTGAACCAGGTGATGCTTCCCGCATAAGTTTTGCACACAAAAAAGTATGCATCTTGTAGTTTCAAAGTGAACAAATGGCAATTACTCCTAAAATTAGGTAAGGCAGAGTTACGGTTCGTTTGCATTGCTCTTCTACCTCATGAGATCTTTCTACCGTCAACGTTTCTTGTTCATATATCTTATACTTTCGGACCTATGTCCTTGAAAACGTTCGAAGTGTAAAATGAACAAAGGACAATAACTCCCTTATTACTCACTTCTATAATGAGATCTATCTAACTACAAAGTTTCACGTTGATATCTCTTATAATATTAGAGTTATGTCCCAGACAAAGTTCAAAGTGTAAAAATGTACAAAGGGCTATAACACCGAATTTAGGCAAGACAGAGTTATGGTTCTTTTGCATTGCATTTCTACCCAAGGAGATATTTCTACCTACACAATTTCATTTCATGTTGATATCTCTTATAGTACATGTAGTATTAGAATTATGTACTGGACAACGTTCAAAGTGAAACAAGGGTTTTCAGGTTTCTAAAAGGGGAGGTAATTCAAACACGGGGCAAGATAGAGAGAGTTATGATTCTTTGGCGCTACACTCTGCCTTAATGCCCTCTACTAATGTGTGCAGTTTCAAGAAATTCTGTCCAAGAGTTTTCAATTTATGCTCCGGAATAAAACGGATGGTCAGGCAGACGGACAAGGCGGCGCCGACTATAATATGCTCTCTCTCTTTTGGGGAGCATAAAAATATACTTCTGTTCCTACCATTAAGCATTGTATTAATGCAGCGGCATAGCATTTGTTTCACAAATGCAATCTTGTTGTTCGAGATGTGAAAATTCGAATTTGTGACCGTTAGCTTTCTAGTGACAGAGTTGTATTATCTGACCTCTGCAAGCAAAATTTCTAATTTATGATAATGTCACAATATACATGTACATGTTGTTGACACGAGAACGGGACATATGGTACATAAGGTCTTTACTGATAAGAAAGAGCACAATACAGAAGACAATATTGCGCGTCAGAGAGAAGAAGATGACAGATATGTTTTTCGGGTTATTTTTACTTTTGGTTATTTTCAGTAATGTTAGTGTTGCTGAACATAAGCAGGAAGAAAAGAGAATATTGATAGACGATAACTATTACACTTTGGTTTCACGATTGGATGCACTAGAGAAGGAGGTGACCGATCTAAAGTCCAACTGTGGTAACATTTTTCATATGATAACACTTTGAATTCGTAGCAGAAAGGTGACTGGCCGAGCCTTAATTTTATCTGTATTAATCGGAACGTCTTCGACTATTATCTATGATTATCCGAAGATTGAAGGAAAAGGCCAAAAGGTTGCGACTGTACCTGTGACGTTCATAATGCAAATGCATATGTGAATTAATCTTGGTCCGTATGGGATTCAAACTTGTGCTGTCCATCGACCCATATACCTTTCCTGCGATTTAACATTTATCTCATAAAAATAACATCATAACAATTTAAGGTTTGCATATTAACTTAAATAAGTTAATTCTTACGGTTATTTAGTGAAAATCTTGCAAAAAGGGGGAAAAACAGACAAAAAAAAATGTGTTACGATTCCCAAAATAAAATCTCACTCCATTAGTAATGTTGTAGACTTTTGACGATAAAAATGGTGAATTATTAATGACATATATTCCATATATATTTTCATGAATAATTCAAAGTTTCGTCTAGATTTTAGTTGTTTTTATGATGTACTATGCTCATCGTTTAGTAAAATATTTTTATGGGCATGTAAACACACTGATGGGTCAGACTAGGTCATTAAAATAGTAGATTGACCTCCCAAATAAATCAATTAACAGACTTTGTTCATTTTGACTATTATGTTGTATGTTCCAAAGAAAATACCACATGAATTTGAAATTCTATCAAGTAACAAATATTAATGATAATATCCAAAAATACCCCCTCTATAGTATAAATAAACTTATACCTTATAGGGGGTATATTTTGGATATTATAGACCTGTATATTTTGGTTATTATCGTTAATATTGATAGAATTAAAGTTCCTGCGAAAAAAAAAAAGAATTTTTTTTTTAATTCAAATCACTAACATGCCTACCAAAGTTCAATGTCTTTGGTCCGCCCATTCATAAATGGTATGCAATACTAGTTAAAAACAATTAACCATTGAAAAGTTTATAAGAATATCTGGACATCAGAGGTCTACTAGTTCATCTGAAGTCACTTGCTGCATTTTTTGCTTGGACGCCATTTGATGCTTTGCATCAATGCTTTTCTTGTTCATCATTTGTTTTGTTATTTTCCATTTAAAAGCGAGTGGTTCCCATAAAGAGGTGGCATTCATGGCCGAGTTAACCAAGACTATTACCGGACAGAATCACCATATCTACTTCGATGACGTCAAATTGAACATCGGGAATGCCTACAATCCGCACCACGGAACGTTTGTTGTGCCGGTAAACGGTACGTACCAGTTCTCGGTAACCGCATGCTCTAGTGGCAACCATTATATTGTGCTTGAACTGAATGCAAACAACGTCATGATAAGCAAGTATTCCAAGTTTCATGTAGATAGATTGACATTTTTGAATAATGGGCAACATTAAAGCTTTTGCACGACGGCGACAATGCCGTCGCAGCGGTCATAATCTTCGAAATTTAAAGACGAGCTAACTAAATGACATTGACAATTTCATTGCCCCGATTATGAAAATTGATAATTTGAAGTACATTTGTATATAAATATTTGAAATTTTAGGATTCATGTGTAAAGAGACATTAAATTTTATGATCAAATTATCAAACTCTAGCTAGCTCATTGAATTCAGTTAGGAAAGAAATGAAGTATAATTTGAATAATAACTCTGGTTTATTTAGCAAAGCCTAGTGTGAGACAAACACGCTTTTAAAAACATATTCAATTCATGGAATCAGCATTACAGAATTTATCAATGAAATGAAATCATATCAAGTCAAATAAAATTACAAAAGAAATTAAATCACAAAAAGAATCCATCCACCCCCGAACCATCGATCCATCCATCAACAAAAGAAATAAACAAATAAATCATAAAAAAGTCATACCTTTTACTTGACCTTCCAAGTTACCTATCACTCCTGTCTGACCCTCAACAGTTTGTTTCAAATATTTTACCTCTTGTTCGAGCATTATTAATCTATTTAGCATATCATAGTTACACGAAGGCATACAACTCGGTTCCTCATCATTTAATCCGAAAACTGTGTGTAAAATTAAATAGATAGAGAAAAGAGCGGCGTTTCTTTGTTTCAACATGATTGCCAATACAAGATGTACTTCTATCTTTAGTTAAACAACTAGACGGACTGACAAGTACAGTCGGATATTAATCTTTTCTTAAGGAGGCACTTGTACTTAACGAGCATTTTCATGTCATTAGTAAAGGAAAGTGAAGGAGAATAAATATTGATACGTGATGTGAAGGTTATTATCATATATCTTTACTAATTTGATTTAAAACTATAACACGTATGATAAAGCCACAGTCTCACTTACATCCCGGCAGAGCCCCGGTAGATGTCCGGGGTGATCCGGGAACGAACCGGGAACAACTGGGGTACATCCGTAACTCTGCCGGCAACGTCCTGGATGATCCGGGAACATCCGGCGATGATCCGGAGTATGATATAGCCGGTAGAGCTACGGTAGAGCCCCGGTATATGCCGGCAGAGCCCCGGTAACTACAGGCAGAGCCCCGGAGGATAAAGGTAGAGCTACGGTTGATCCCGGTAGAGTCCCGGCAAAGCCCGATCATTTCAAAAGAATAACGACAATTTGCGATGATTGCACTTGTTTGTATTAAAAGCCTTGAAGTTCCCATTTCCATTCTACCCAGTATGGCATAAGGATTTTTCAGAAAATCATCATGAATTACTATTCTAGAACAATAGATATTATATTAAATAAAAATTATGTATCAATGTTATCATTTTCGGGCGTTTTCAATCCACAGGGGTTCTACCGGGGCTCTGCCTGGATCGTCCTGGGCTCTACCGGGCTCTGCCTGGATCGACCGGGGCTCTGCCTGGGTCAACCGGGGACTTCCGGCGTCATCCGGGAACGACCGGGGAAGCACCGGCATGAACCGTAGCTTCACCTGGGCTCTGTCTGGATGATCCGGAGCGCATCCTGGGTGGTTAGTAGGGAACTACCGTAGTGCTGCCGGGGTAAGTGTGACCGCAACAATAATTTCATCCCGGATCATCCCGGTAACTTACCGGGATGGTCCTGGGCTCTGCCGGGAGTAAGTGAGACCGCAGCTTAAAATTACGTTCCTCAAAATGACCATTGTGTATTATGTTTACCTTTGGTTGAAGTTTACAGGAGGTGACGAGCCACTTGATGCAGATGGTTTTATATGCTTGAATTTTTAGTTTGTGTTAGTTTTATTAATTTACTATTTTATACGTATTTATTAGATTATTGTTTTACATTTTAATAATCTCTATTTAAAGGGTAAATTACAAATATCGAAAATAAAACTAAATTTGATTTAATTATTTGCACGGTATTTTCCGATTGTTTCCATGTTGTTTATTCTAATTATCACAAAACTAAATTAACTATAGGCAATCTATTTTTGTAATTTATATTGGGGTTTGCATGATTTATTTCACTGAAAATACATTATATGAATCCCAGAATATCGAATAGCGTTGACATTTCCCTAAAGTCTTAACACATTGTCAAACAAGCGTGTCACTGAAAAAAAAATCTGCGTGGCACAAATTATTATACCGTTTCCGTTTACACATGTTCCTATATACATGTATGTCACACAGACTCCATTTTGGAACGTGGGAGGATTACAATAATTATAAATACATTTTGAAGCCATGAAACATATTAATTTTTATGGTAAAACGATGGGGACATTTTTTCAGGACAATCAAAGACCCTACAACGAAATCTTTTGTCGATTTATACTATAAATCTGATGCTCAAATGAAGATTCATCAATTGTCAGTTTCAAAAAGCATTATTTGTAAAGGTATTGCCGAATTTAACATTTCATGTAAAAATGGGGGTGGGGGGGGAGGGGGCGGGGTAATTAGAAATCAATTTCCGATAAAGTCTTGGCCAGTTTTTTCCCAATAAAAAAGAATGCGTTAATTTTAACGTTTAATTATAATGTACATATACATTTGCTGTACATATGTAACCTATTCTTGGATGTTTGGATATTGTTTTAGAGGAATAATTATATACGTATATAAAACTTCACTTAACTCTATGTTACACCTTTAATTACAATATACTGGATCTAATAGAATCGAACAACGTGAATAATGTCAATGTAAAGTTATCATAATATTATTTGAGCAACCCGACCCTATCTAGAAATATATTGCCAAAATTTTATCGAGTAAATTTCATGCTGATATTATTGTTTAAGCATAATTTATGTGTAACTGAGGTGCACCTGCAAAATTCCGAAAAAGGAATCACAAATGTGAAATACGAAAACAACACGACATATTTTATGCGCTGTATTGTCACTCTTTTATGTCGTTCTTTCTTAAGAAAAAGGCATAAGAAGCAGAAATACGACAATAAGCTCAACACAAAAAGCTATAAATTTTAAACAAAGAGCTGGACAGAACGGAATATATTAGTATTGCGACTCTGGTCCATGATGGAAACGTGCCAAATGAAGTAACACTTTTCAGATTTACAACATATGTATAATTTTACAAACGAAAGTGAAAGAGATATGTAAAATATAACGCTATCTAGTAGTCTCTCAATAGTTCTGTTAAACATCTACACGTAACGTCCTGTTACTTTTTTGTGTTTTTCTTTTTTCAAAAGCATGATAGAGAAACGATTTTTTTACTGATTTCATTAAAACGTCATGATTTGTATACAATAAGATATCAAATTTGTGTGGTGTTGTATAGTTTTGTTTTTGTTCAAAGACTCGAACTAACTACGTACATGTATAAATTTAAATAATAAGCATAATTTTAGGTTATAGGGTCATAATTGGCTCCTGTACTGACATTTCCAGTCTTTCTGCGATATCGAACACCGCCAACAACTAGTATGATCACGGCTAAACCACCAAACACACAGCCGAGGATGATACCCAACTTGCCATCTCCACCGTCGCCACCACCTCCGCCACTTGGATGATGATCTGCGGCACACTCAGTCACATCTGTTACAAAAAAACAATATCTTTGATTAGACCTTTGCTCTTGAGAGAACTTTCAAGGACCATTCTGTTTTCAAAATCGTTTTAAAAGTATATCTTTATAATGCGAGTTTTACCCTTAAGCTCTCAAATGTTGTAAATGAACTGATTCGGCGTCAATTTTTGGAACTTTCTTTTATCACTTTTGGGTATATCAGTATAAATTTTTTTGGATATATCAGTATAAATTTGTTGAGTTATTCAGTCAACTGTATTAAGTTTGGTCAGACTGCATGAAAGATGGTGCAGACCGGCCTCGCTCTATAATGGTTGCAACAGCGTAAGGGCAGTGTAAGAGTTGACGACCTTAAATTTGACAGGCCATCTTTTCAAGAATATCAGTCCTCTTAGACATATGAAAGTAATTAAAGTAAAAAATATAAATATCCTATCGCATTACTGAGCAGAAAGCATTATTAAAATAATTTTTCTACATTTAACGACATACATTATTAATACACATTTATACATTTCCCGAAAATGTCAAAATCAAAACACAGTATATTAATTTGAAGTTGTAAGTATTTTAAAAACGAACACTTCTAACCATTGTTTGTAAAATCCGATGTGCCCGTTTTACCAAAAGCCCTGTACTGTAGATCACTGAGTTTCATATGTGTATCTTTGTCTACATTGATGTCTTCTTCGGCATTGCATTTAAACGAACCATCTGTATTTACTTTTAAATTGGCAATTGCTCCAGAGGTCGTAACACTCTCTTTACTACCTTTGATAGAAAATAAACGTTTAAGCATCCAGTGAAATTTCCAAATTCTAGTAAAAGTGTTCGGAATATAGCTGTTTTAGTGATTGGTTTTATAAGTTTAAGTGCATTGATATAACAAATGTTCATATGCACGATAAAAATGTTTGCAATGTTTGAGTTCAGATGCGCGGGAAAAATGATAAATTCGAGTTTAGCGTACTAGTAAGAATTAAATGTTAGAGTTCAGATGCCCTGTAAAATTTGCAATGTTCGAGTTCAGATGCGCAGTTAAAATTGCGATGCTCGAGTTCAGATGCGCAGTTAAATTGAAATGTTCAAGTTCATTTGCGAAGTACAAATTGTGATGTCCGGGTCAATTCATAGGCACTGCATTTCCATGTTCGATATCAGATGCACAGTTGAAAATGCAATGTTCGAGTTCATGTGATCAATAAAACATGGAATGTTTGAGTTGAATTTTGAAGTGAAGAAAAAATTGGAATGCCATAATTATCTAAAACATCTAATCGATAAACCGAGCAATGTATAAAAATTCATACTAATAATAATTATACGCAAAGAAAAGGACATACTTGAAAATTGTTGATTTATTACGCGTTGGTTGATTAATGTTGCTTTTGTACGTAGATTAAATCGTTGGTAT